GGGAAGACTTCATCAGCATTCCAATCCTACATCGCTTTCAAAAACAATTGCAAATGCCCCATCATCTTTGAAACCTTTCTTACTCAAAGGTAAGTTTCTCTTCTCAGAACCTTGGGCTTCGTGTCTCACGATAATTCAGTCAAATGTAGTCGTTTGTACGTTATTTTTGTCCAGTCTAATTCACCAAGCAGCACTCTTGAAGACCTGGTATTGTTTCTGTAAAAATTACAGTCAACAAAACCCTATGGAGCAATTCTACTCCTTAACACATGAGGTCACTATGAGCCAGATTTGACTGGACAGCAATTTCGTGGGGGTTAGGCTGTAGCCATCAGTGTATCACAGAACCCAATACACTACCTTTACAGTATATAGTTGAGTATATCACTACCTTTTTTTTAAGTATCACAATTTAAATGCCAAAAGACACAAAAACAGAGAACAGCTACTTGAAGAACTACCAAGACCAGTAGGTTTTATGGGACAGCTTTAGAAAGCCTTAAATACAGAGCTGTGATGCTTCTTGAGGAAAAAAGGCATAAAAATTCATCTGAACCAGGAAGAATAATCTCCAGAAGTAGTGTCTGGAGACTGGCTGTAATAGCTTCATAAGTGAGAGTGGCACTTTACAGCTACGATTAAGCTCTGCTAAAAATGAAGAAGTTTATTTTAAAAAAGCAAAAAAATGCACTACAACATAAAACAGAAGAAATAATGTGGACAAGTTCATTATGGGGAAATATATCCAAATCATGTATAAAATATGGGAACCTTCCATTATAATGGACCAAGCAGAGAAAACTGGGAGAAAAAGTCCTAATCTTGTTAACAGAAGGATTCAGAGAGACAATTAGTTGGATACTTGCTGACAGAAAGTATAGATGTCTAATGACTAGGCTTTGCTCTCCCTGGGCAGAAGAGAAATGTGGGTAAAGTCACCAAAAAAGGAGCTTTGTTTTGAATATAAAATTGAAAGGGGCAGTTCAACAGAATATGAAATCTGTAACAAATACTACTTCTTTTTTTTAAGGATGGGGAAAATCTTGGCCTGTGCAATCCTAGCAATACAGGAGAGAACTGCTCTCTGCCTTCGCCTCAGTCCATTGGTTTTCCAAGCAGGTCAAGGACCCTTAGTTCCGGTGTAAAGAGAGATCAACAGATAAGATACCTGCGATATACTGTTCCCTGAGAACTTTTATATTTTTTCAATGAAAAACACTACTTTGTCCCAATTAGAGTTGGACCAGTACCAATCACAAGTCTATCCGCAGCCCCTAAATCAATTAGATTGCTGCACTCTTTCTTGCCTGCTAGTGAGTAAAGGACTAAGTATGCCACATGCTCACACAGAAAGTCAGTAGCAAAGCACACTTTAAATACAACTCTTTAATACCTAAAGAAACAAAAAACTAGCATGTTACTTATGCCAGAGAGAATTATAGGTCTGTATCAGAACAGTCTGTGATTTCTCTACCATGACAATAACCCAGAAATAGCCAGTACTACGGTAGTGAGAGAGGTGCGTTTTCAAATCCCAAAGGCTATACTGGTCTGTAACAGTAAACAATCAAAGGCCGGAATCTTGTGGACTATATGCTCTCTGTTACAGCTACTCAATTCTGTCTACAGGCCAGTATGTAAATGAATGAGCACATCTGTCACCATTGCTTTATAAAGTCCTAACTGGGCCTATGGTTTTGAACAGTTTTGGATGTGTCATTTTATCAACACCCCAAAAAGAAATGCACAAATGCCTTTACAGTCACTGAAACACAGAAAAGTATCTTCCTGACACATTTCTGCTTTTAGTCAAGATCCAGATAACATCGGCAACAATACCCCTTGTTCCTTACCCTCTTGTGAATCCTTAAATCCAGCCAGAATTTCCCCACTGACATACTGCTTTGATCATTTCAAAATTATCTTCAGTAGAACTTTACATGTAAAATTAGTTAATACTGTTCAATAATTTCCAAGTTCTGTTGGATCACCTTTCTTTGAAATGGGCACAAATATATATCTCTTCTAGTCAAGCAGCTGTCTATTATAGATTATAGAATTCTTCTTTTATGTACTCACTAAGCTTTATAGGCTTTTAGGTATTTTTACACACACACACACACACACACACAAACCACTGCCACCAAGTTGATTCTGAATCATAGCAACCCCCTGCAGGGTTTCCAAGACTGTGTATTTTACAGCCTCATCTTTCTGCTGGGGAGCAGCTGAAAAAGTTTGAACTGCCAACCTTAGGTTGGCAACTCAATGCTTCTCCTGCAGTGCTATCAGCGGCCCTAAAGTTAAATTAACACTCCTCCACTCCCAATGGAATGCCTTGAGTTAATCTTTAAAACTTAAATCAAAGCTATCATCTGAAGTCATCTATAAACCAAGTAATAGCCTTCAAAAAAGCTTGTGTAAAAATGGAATGAAAAGATAATTTTTCAACCAACTTTTTGAAGCACTCTCAGTATTACAGTAAAAGTGTATATGATATCTATATATATGCATTCATAGATAGATACATGTGTGTGCCTATGAATAAAACAAACTTTTGTGTGTGGTGAAAATATATACACCAAAACATATACCAACAATTCAATAATTTCTACATGTACAATTCAATGGCTCTGGTAACATTCTCTTCAAGCTATGTAATCATTCTTGTTATCCTTTTCCAAATTATTCCACTATCATTAATATACTCACTGTTCCCTAAGCTTCTTATAACTTTTGACTTGTTGTTGTCCATTTGGTCACATTAAGTATTTGAAAGAACACAATGCTCATTATAAACAGTCCTTACTAGCCAAGCCTAAGCTATTACTTGATTTATAGATGACTTCAGGTGATAGCTTTAAGGTTTAAAGATTAATTCAAGGCATTACATTGGGAGTATTATTTAACTTCAATGACTCCAAGAAGTTTAAATTCCATAAAAATTTGAAATTATGCTCTACATTTCCCCCCTTTTGATTGGGATCCATTCATCCAGAGAATAATTTTCGAAACCAGGAATGATCAAGGTGTCTGGTCTTATGACAAAGAAAGTATTTTAAAATAAACTATTGGTAAGAAAAATTTTCAATTTGACTTACAGTGCGAGCACATTTCCAAAGGGTAACTTGCCTCATTTCCCTGGAAATGAAAAAATAGCAAATAGTTAGTCACAAAATCGGAACACATTTCTTTCAAATATGAAAATTAGGTAGCAAAACATATAGAAACAAGCACTAAACTAGAACATCTCGACCCAAATTAATATTTTTAACTGAAGAGTAGATAGAACTCTCTTATTAAGCAGACCTGAGTTGCAGTTCTTACAACAGGGCAAACCCAGACAAACACAAACACCTAATGAACAGACACGAAACGTTTTATTATCCGAAATGTGTCGGATAGCAAGTTCTGACACTAGAAATAGCTGATGCCCTACGATGTCTTGCTAAAGGAACTCATTTTGGGATAAGGTGCAGAGACAGCTCCTCCTGCTATTTAGCAGAACAGCTTTCTGAAATGCGAAGAAGCAGTTCAAAAGGAAAATCTATTATATTTGATACCATTTCTATTTCCGTGAAACAGAATTTTCTTATGTGCTGTCCAACTGAAATTTTAAAACTTACTAATAGGAAGGTTGAGGTCAATAAAAGATGGCCAATCACTTGTATCCATTTCAAAATTTTCTATCCAGGAAAAGTCTTATCTCACAGTTAATATATTCCATTTTTGATATCCATTTTTTATTCTAGTTATCCATGTGAAATTTATTTAAAGAAAAATATGCCCTAATAATGAAGTATAATTAACTACAGATCTGGTCCAATGCCTACACTAAACAGATTTGAAGGCCCAGGAGGTTAAGTTACTGATGGAAAATCACATTTGATTATTTCTAAATGTAGACCAGTAAAAATTCTAAGTACAGCAGACTCAGATGATGTAAAACCAGCAAGATCTTTTTAAAAACCCAGGTAACTGCCATCAAGTGGCTCCGAGGCATAGAGCCCCTATAGGATGGGGCAGCACAGCTCCCTGATTTCCAAAAATGCAAAAAACCAAATCTGTCTCAGAAGCATACAAAGAATGCACCTCAGAAACTGAGACAGTGAGACTTTGTCTCATGTGCTTTGGCTGTGTTGTCAAGAGAGACCAGTTCCTGGAGAGGAACACCATGCGTGGTAAAGCAGAAGGGCACCAAAACCGAGGAAGGCCTCAGACCGCGAGATCCACTGATACAGTGGCTGCAACAAGGGGCTCAAATATAAGAACAATTTTGAGGATGGGGCAGGAATGAGAGGTGTTTTGTTCTGTCACTAAGGGTCAGAAGTAACTCTAACGCAACAACCAACAAAAGTTTTAAGGGAGCAGAAAATCTCATCTGAGAAACAGCTAGGGGGCTTCCTTACTGCTGACCTGGAGGTTTGCAGCCCCACAGGGAACTGACGATGCCATCAGGGTTCTGTTTTGTTTTGTTTTTTTAAAAAAGGACTCTATAAAGTACCCTAAGTTTTTTAAATTCAATGGTAAAATGTGGAGTACCAAATATCGTATGTTCCATTTATTTAGTTTTAGTCCTGCCAACAATTAAATAGCAAAAGTACAGAAGGGGATTTGGTTATATTTATACATCCTAAAGAACTAATGAAAGCAGCCAGCAGGTAAGGAGGGGTTCCCAGTCTGACTGGCTGGCTCATACACTCCCTAAGTATCTCTACCTCAAACCAAACCAGACCAAACCCAATAGCACTGAGCCAATTCTGCCTCACAGCAACCCTGTACAAGGTTTCCCAAAGTGCACATTTCTGCAGGCACTGATAGCCTCATCTTTCCCTTTCAAAGCGGGTGATGGGTTTGAACCACAGACTGCAGTTAGCAATCCAGCACTTGCCTGGCAGTGCTACTCCGCAATCTAGATAAAAGCATGAGGTCTCAGAAACGTCTATCTATCGGTGGGTCGTTATTAGCCAACACCAAGTGGTGGTGGCCCTCTGTTCAAGATGGTGACGTTCAGAAACAGATTGTCAGACTGGTTTGCTTTTTTTTCTGGAAATACTTCTGGGTGGATTCAACTGCCAACCTTCTGGCCAGTAGTCCAGCACTTAACTATTTGCACCACTCAGCAACTCCCCTGTGTAAATTAACATCTTCAATTTCTTCATGTCGCCAGGAGCTACTCTCTTCCTTGCAGGTTCTAGTTGCTGTGAGGTGCCGTTGAATAGGCTGACTCATCGTGACCCTATCTATCTATGTACAAGGTGAACCGCTACAGGGTCCCAGGCGCCCTCTCCCCTTGACCAAGCACGGGGTCCTTTCTCCAGGCTAGAAGAGTGAATTACAACTTTACACGACTGCTTGCTTTTTAGGCTACTGAGTGTTCAGCTGCTAACCAAAGGTTAAGAGGAGCGGACCTGCCCAGGCCCCACTGGAGAAAGAGCGGGCAGCCTGCTTTGACGAAGCCACATTGCACTGGAAGCCCGACAGGGCAGCTGGACTCTCGTCCTACACGTTGTGATGACTCGGAATTGACACTAGGACAACAGGTCATTCTCTCACTTTGGGCCAACATCTAATGGCAACAAAATCACAATCAAAACCCACCCATTGCCACAGAGTTGATTCCGGCTCACACGGACCCTAGATAGCTGTGGTTCTCAACCTGTGGGTCGCAAACCCTTTGAAGGCCAAACGACCCTTTCACAGGGCTTGCCCAATTCATCACAGTAGTAAAATCACGTGATGAAGTAGCAATGAAAATAATTTTACGGTTAGGGGGTCGCCACAACATGAGGAGCTGTATTAAAGAGTCACAGCATTAGGAAGGTTGAGAACCACTGCTATATAGGATTTCCAAGTGACCTAAAGCTATCTTTCCCAGAGCAGACAGCCTATTCTTTGTCCCCACATCTGCTGGGGAGTTTGAACCAGCAACCTTGCAGTTAGCAGTCCAGTGCTTACCAGCCAGTGTCACCAGGGGTCCTTTCTGCATTCAAGAAAGGCTAAATAGGAATCGGATGCACCTGTTCTGAAACACTGGAACAGATCTCGTTCCTAACTGAGGATAGAGAGGAAAGGGAAAACAGCAAATACTAACAAAGGTTGTGAGCAGGCATCCATTTCAACTTCCTTTGCACCTTTCTTACTTATTCCTAAGATTTCTACAAGTCAAATCTTTCATTGCCTCGCATGCTCAAATTTGGGAAATAAAAATCTTTTTTTTTTTAAATCCTCATCCTGTGCAATTGAAAAATATAATTTTTACAATGTTTTCAAAAGAAAATACTGAAAATGTATTTATTAAACCTTCAGTTGTACTGTGAGCTTATGGTTGTAATTGTTTTCTAAGTAAGAACAAAAGGGTAAAGTAATAGTTCCAGGCTGACCTTTCAACTCGGTGGCCATGGGAATGAACCGACTCAACGGCAGTTGAGTCTGAGGATTTTTTGGACCTTTACAGTGTTGCAGTCTTTAAAAACGATAGCCCTATACTCTTATTCGTATCACTCCTTCCTAACCACTGTCTGAAAGACTCAAAGACCAGTCAATCTAAGGCTCTTCAAGACAATTTTCCATTAACAGTGAATAATACATTCTCTCTCTCTCTCTTAAAAGTTAGGGTCCTTGTATCCAAAAGGTTTTCAAACCTCATCCTGTCCAATACTTAACAATCACATCACATCTTGCTAACATTCTTCATTAATTCCCAATGTCTTCAGGACAAATACCAAAATTCCTTACAGCATGCCCTTTACGAGAGAACTCCCAACCTCTTAGTCATTCTCTCTTCATCTCACTCAAACAAACCAGGACAGTTCCTTATTATGCCACACACTGCAATGCCTCCAATGACGCATACAATATGCTGCCACCTTCAAAAGCATCTTGCTTTATCTGTCCCCTTCTTCAGGAGGGACCTACACACAGGTATGAGCCAGAGGAGTAATCCCGGCCAGGTCACACTGGGCCTTTATAAGAATGACACTATTTGTTGTTGTTCATTTGCTATTCAAAAAGGAAGATGGGAGACGGTAGAGCAAGGAATGGAAGCAGAGAAAACAGAAGGCTAATGCAATAACCCAGGCATGCAATGGTGGTAACTTGGACCTAAGTGAGGCAATATAAAATCCTGAATATACTGAATATAGATCTGGCTTTATTTGTTCATAGCGTGTATATGGATAAAAAGAAAAAGTACACAAGGTTGACTGTAAGATCCTACTGAGAAACCTTCCTTGACCTCTCTTATTTATCTTCTAATGGAATATAAACTATGAAGACACTTTTGTGGTAAAAGATCAGACAACATCCCTTCCTATGCTTTCCTGGAAGTCACTTAAAAAAAAAATTATTGGGGGCTCATACAACTCTTTTCACAATCCATACATCCATCCATTGTGTCAAGCACATCTGTACATTTATTGCCCTCATCATTCTCAAAACATTTGCTTTCTATTTGAGCCCTTGGTATCAGCTCATTTTTCCCCTCCCTCCCCATCCCTCAAGAACCCTTGATAATTTGTAACTTATTACTATTTTGTCATATCTTATATTGTCCGACATCTCCCTTCACCCACCTTTCTGTTGTTCATCCCCCAGGGAGGAGGTTATATGTAGAACCTTGTAATCGGTTCCCCTTTCTACCCCACCCTCCTTCTACCCTCCTGGTATCGCCACTCTCACCACTGGTCCTGAAGGGATCATCCGCCCTGGATTCTCTGTGTTTCCAGTTCCTATCTGTACATGTGTACATCCTCTGGTCTAGCCAGATTTGTAAGGTAGAATTGGGATCATGATAGTGGGCGGGAGGAAGCATTTAAGAACTAGAGGAAAGTTGTATGTTTCATCGTTGCTACCCTGCACCCTGAATGGCTCATCTCCTCCCCACGACCCTTCTGTAAGGGGATGTCCAGTTGCCTACAGATGGGCTTTGGGTCTCCAATCTACACTGCCCCTCATTCACGATAGGGTTTTTTGTTCTTTGATGCCTGATACCCGATTCCTTTGACATCTCATGATCACACAGACTGGTGTGCTTCTTCCATGTGGGCTTTGTTGCTTCTGAGCTTGATGGCTGCTTGTTTACCTTTAAGCCTTTAAGACTCCAGACACTCTCTCTTTTGATAGCTGGGCACCATC